TCTTACCCAGTACCTTGTAATGGGCACTTCATCCAAGTATCACATACCAAAGTTTTTGAAATTGATTCTATCCTCATATTTCACCACTACGTTTCTGCCATTACTAGTCTATAGAATTTTTCATTTGAGAAAGAAGGGAATAGGGAGAATGAATATGTAATGAGAGAGAGAGAATTGGAAAGCACGAACGAGAAAGAGGGGGGAATTGAAATATCAAATGGTAATTAATGGGTTACTCATTAGATAACCATGAACCAATGCACACAATCCATTAAATGCCTCTTTATTAGGTTAAGCAACCCACTAATGACACAGGACGAAGGTGGTGTTCATTTCCATGCTTTATCTCGTGGATGAGACCGTTTTGATCTGGTCCATAAGAGAATGAAGCATTTGATTCACTATGAGGTTGTCCACAACATCTTGTGGGTAGAGACCATCCACTGACCAATTTATCATCCCCACATTTATCTCATGGATGGGGACAATCCACAGTTGCCCAATCCRATTTTTTTATGAATCAATGCATCACATTTTTGCCGTGAACCCCTTTTTTACTGCCATGAAGCCAATCTCCGCCGTTCTCTACTAAAACAGGGGACTTTCCTTTCTTCTCCACTGATCTTCCTTTATTGTTTAGTGCCATCGCACCATTGTTAACAAACTCACCCTTCTGTCAAGTTCACCTACTAGTCAAATAAGGAATTATTTCATTACAAACACTTCTCACTAAGGAATGTTATAGAATGACACTTTGACATCTTTGTGGACAAATTTCTTATTTTTCTGAATATGCCATCATTCGATCTACAAATGCAATGATACATCATAATATCATGCTTTATCACATATAGTTTTATTAGGAAATGGGTCATTCATGATAAAGACATTGGTAGATGATCAATGGAAGATATAATAAGTGAAGAGGGAAATGAAGCTAATGAGATTGATTATGATGAGGAGAATGAATATAGCTAGTCTTAGATTCAAAATAGCGAATAGCATGTGGGAGCAACACCCCTTGGAACAATTTGATATATTTTTTTTAATTTTAATTTTAACTACAAATAGTCATATTCTATAGTTAATGTATTAGGGATGTTTCTAACATTTTGAACTTACTTATGGTGCATCAATTTTTTCTTTGTTTTTGTGAATTGATTATTTCTTACACTTGCCTTTAAGCTAGTAAATTGATATATGAATGGCTAAACATATATGTACACCTATGTGCGGAGTAAGGGATTGATGGAATTGGTCATGACAAGAACCAATGCCAATTATAGTGAGTGATTCTTTCATTGCCCATAATGAGAGAATCACCCAAATTCATTTTACTAGGTAGATGAATTAACTAAACATAATGCTCAACTAGTCTCACCATAAGGATTATATGACCCATCATCAACACAAAGCATCATGTAGTACAAATGCACATCAAATTACATAAATTAGACATTGCATTGCTCGGATGTTGTGGGTGCGATACAATTTACACCACTCTTCTTATCTGCCTTACCATAGTAGTTTTGTTATTTTTGTTTGAATATTAGTTGTAATTTTGTTTTTATTTTCTGAATGGTTTTATCAATACATTGGAATGTATAGTTAATGAACCCAATATTTCGATGCTAAACTTATGTAAGCCAACCTTACTTAGAGCTGATAATTAATATATTATTTTTTGGGTAGGTTTCAACATAGTTATTTTTTTTTCTTTTTGGTTTTATTTTATTTGCAAATTATTTTATATAAAGATTGCTTATTCTTTTTTTCGTAAATGTTTTTAAAATTTTAAATTGTTTTTAATAAATTAAAATTGATAAAATTATTTTTAATAAATTTATCAAGACAAAAATATTTTTCAAATTGTTTTTATTACCAATTTTTATTAATAAAAATGATTTTTTATTGCTAGATAAATTCATATTCTACACGTTTTATCCTCTARTATTTAACATATATATATTAGTAATTATATATTGGTGTTTAATTTATTTATTGTTACTTCGTATTATTTCTTTCCAAATTACTTTGGATTTAAAATATAAGAATGTTTTATTCATGATCAGTTGTATAGGTCATCTCACAAGTTGTATGAAATCAAAAGGTGTGGTCCATACCACACCTCAAAACACCCAACCCCTTTGGGTGTAGATTGTTTCAGTCAATATGTTTTGTCCATAGTTTAAAACAACTACAAGCAGTGGTGTGGTGTAGAGTACCTCACACCCACCAACTTCTCATCTACGTTATAAAACACCCCCTAAATGAATACAATGCAACTCATCGACTAATGAGTGGGTTGGGTTGAAAAATTGCCACCCCTATTCATTCACAAGGCCTTATCAAGATGAACAAGAAACATGGTGGAGTAGTTTGGGGCTAAAACAAGTTTAACTAACATAATACCAATAAAGGGGCATTTTACTAGAATATGGGAGTTCAAGGGAGTATTTGCCACAAAAAGCAGAGTTTTGAGGGCTAATTGTCACTGCCTCATAAGTATAGGGTGGCTGTTTATAATTTACCCTAAAATTATGTATTGTGGCATGGTCCCACTCTAACTTAAGTATTCAAATCACAAAGCTACTAGCTATTTCACATCATTAATAACATATCACATCTAATTTAATTTTTCAAGTAAAATAAAACCCAAACAAATGCCTCTAAGATGTCACATTTGTATTGGTGCATTATTTTGGTTAAAATCCCTTTTTCCTTTAGGCTCAGTTTGGAAGCAATACAAATGCAAACACTTACATCATAAATATATACAAAATAATACAAAGTATAAGGTTTTTAATTTCTTAAATTAAATAAAAAACCCAGCTTCAATGTTTCAAGTAGAACTGAGGTATATTATTTTCCCATTTGTCTTTTAGCCAATAATGAGTAATAAAGTTAGYTGTGAAGTTCCATTGAATTTCATAACTATCTACTCTGTTTTATTACTCTGTGACTGAAAACAAAACCATTAAGTCATTCAATTCTTGGCCAATTCAGCATAAGCCTAGAAAATGCATTTTTCCCTTGCACCCCGAATGGTCAGTTGGATGCCACTGCATCAAAATGTGAGAGAGATGCCCAATGTCTGGAATGGCTGAACAGTGGGATCCAAATGACTGAATTGGCTGAATTAAATTAATTAATATACTCAAAATAATATTTCATTATTTTATTACTTTCTTAGTGAGAAAAAACAAAGTAATAAGTCATTCAGTTCAGTCAATTCAGGCTGAATGGTGGAATCCAAATATCTGAATTGGTTGAATTGAATTAATTAATATACTCAAAAAAAAATTTCATTATTTCTATATTTTTTTATTCCAAAAAACAGAAAGCAATAAATCATTCAGTTCAGTCAATTCATCCATTATCACATGGGCTTTGAAAAAGTATGGTTCCATTGCATATGGGGAATGRGTCTGTTGGATTCCATTTCATAAAATAAATCAATGGTCTGTTGGATTCCAAAAAACAGAAAGCAATAAATCAATGGCCCAAATGCCTGAAATGGCTGAACTGAATTGATTATTTTATTATATTAAAAATATTTAACTGTAAAAAGAAAAACAAAGCAATAAGTGATCCAGTTCAGACGATTCAGCCATGATCGAACTGGGTCTCTGAAAAAGTATGTTTCCGTTGTATATGGGGAATGGGTCTGTTGGATTCCACTGCATCGATAAATCAAACCCCTTAGGAAGAACATGAGAGAGAGAGAGAGCTGTCCGATGTCTGAAATGGCTGAACGGTGGGACCCATTTCTTGGTGATGCAAGAACAAGAGACAGCGGGAGAGAGAGAGAGAGAAGGCAACGGTTTACACGAATATAAAGCCGACAAATGTCGCTGCTGCGGGGGGAGGGGGGGTTGTGTGTTTTCACGGAGGGCATAATTGTCCAACTATTTATATCAGTGCAATTTCCCTATAAATGAGAGTGGAGCAGCATTTTATGGTGCTACCCGTTATATGCTATCATCGTAAAGGAAAGGGCAAAGTCGAGTGAAACGAAGCCCTCGGCCCGTCATTCGCAAAAGAACATCGAACGAAAGAACGAAGAGGGGCTAGGGTTTGCAATTTCACCGCGAGGGAAGAAGAAGAAGAAGGAGTGCAGAAGAGAACAATTCGACGCTTCCGAGAGTGGATCTCCGTCTGCTTCTCACAGGCACGTTATTTATTTATTTAATTGTTTCCGTATTGGTCTGTATTTCGGTTTTGGCCTCTTTCTCGTGGGTTGTTCTCTCTCGGGAAGACAGGGTCTATGCCCCCCTTTTCTTCATTTTTCTTCTTAGGGTTTCCTCGGCCTCTTATGAAAAATAGTGGGGCGGGGTTCTGCCCCTCCTTCTCTTTCATTTGGTCTTCGGTTTTTCTTTTGAAAAAACAGGGGGCTCCTCCATTTCTGCTCTTCCTTCTCTTCGTCGTGTTTCGTCTCAGAATATAGGGGCTCTGCCCATTCTTTCTCTTCATATTCGTCTCATTTATTTCCTTGGGAAGACATGGGGTCTTCTGCTTCTTTACCTGCAAGTAGTAAACAGCTAAAATCAGTATTTATAGTTAGTACTTCATCTGAGGTGCAAAGAAAACAATGTTTGCTTTTAATTGCTTCGAAACGAATTTGATAATTGCTTCCATTGCTTTCAGTGCTTTATATTTTATTAAGCATGGTGTTGAACGTTCGTATTGTATGTCAGTGTCATACAATTTATGTGAATTATGACTTATAATCTACTGTTAGTCAATAAGCTTATAATATGTTTGTATTTTTTTCATAAACCTTGGAGAAATGATGCTCATGTGACTTGGGAATTGTAATTTGTGTGTTGACAAGTTGAGCATTGACAATTTGGCATAGTGCTCACATAAGTTACGTAACTTTGTTGATAGAGTATTAGAGTTCTTCAACGTACTGCTAGTAATATAGTGGATGAGATTCCTGGTGAGTTGTTTGAACATACTGTTGATAAAGTTCATCGTTATGATTCCACAGTTCAATGTCACCAATTCAAGAACTGTAAGTAAGTGGAGCATCAACACACTTCACAGAAAATCTATATCGTGTCCCATGCCTCATCATGATTTCCTATACGTCCAACCCATCTTCAACCTCATCTTGATTTTTGGACTTTGACATTTGATACACCCATTCAGAAGTTTTGACTTCATGTTCTCCAATAGGATCTTCATGATACTTTTAGAGATCAATGTCAGCCACATGGCCCACATTAAACACTGGAGAAAGCTGGAGTCGTAGCAAATCGATCAAATGAACCATGTATGCAATTTCGGTATCCCTTATCCTTTTTAATATCTTAAATGAACTTTTTTTTGAGTTGTGATTTGTGACATGTCTCCATGGGAAATCTTTCCTTCCTTAAAACCATCACTTAATCTGTTGCCTTCTAGAATCATCTGCTAACTTATAGTAAGCATTCTTTATCCGACTCTCCATTGGACTTCCTATTGGGTTTCTTGAATTCTTTCAACATAGGTTTCTGATCATTCTTAGTAACTTTTTTTGGTCCAACAGCTGTTTAAAGTGCTAAATCAACAGTGTCTGTCATGGTGTTTACACACAAATAATCATGAACGGAGACTTTCCCATTGAATGGTTGAAACCATTTTTTTAGGAAGGTTCTGCTTGTGATATGATTTCCTCCAACGTCATGGGACATCAAACATCTTAACACATTCATCAAATTTAACCATCTGTCTAAGAATAACATGTATTGTTGAATTGAAGAGTTGAACATAAAGAATTCTACAGGAAATTTCAAAATGATTCGTGAACATGGTATTTCTATATGAAACAGTAGTTCTAGGCATTCCATGATTTTTTTTGATCAATAATTCCATGAATCTTAAAAATCTTTTAGAAGAATCATTATAATTATCTAAGCCCTGTTCCAACTATATGGGGTTGGGTACATGCATTTTGTTTGCCGTTTTATTCTGTTCAGTGCCATATCCATAGTCAAATTATGGGGACAATGATTTCTTACTACTTCCACCCAAGTCCTTTTCGTTTTGCCCATATCTCTTCTAGCCCCTTCAACTTGTAAAAGATCACTTCTTCTTATGGGTGTTGTAGATGGTCTTCTATGCTTGTGACTAAACCACTTCAGTCTATTTTCTCTCATTTTATCACCTATTCCTTCATATGACTTATTTCTAACCATATCCTATCTAGTGTTACTAGTTATCCATCTGGGGATACACGTTTTTTTGATCAATCATCCAAGCATAGATATTTTTACTACACTCATTTTTTGGACATGCTGTTTGTAAACTGCCCAACACTCTGCTCCATATGACATAGCTGGCTTTACAACAGGTTTTTAGAAATTTCCTTTTGGATGAAGTGTTACTTGCCTATCACATAAGTCTCCAGATGTACCCTCCCTTTTGCTCGTCCTACTTTAATTCTATAAGTATATCCTGGTTTGCACTCTTATTATTCTTATTAAATTTACAATGCATATATTCTATTTTAATCTTACTTATTTTAAAGCATCTTCTTTCCAATATACCTGTCCATAAATCTAATTTTGCATTTAATCCTTCGTTAGTTTCTTCAAATGATACGATGTTATCAACAAACGTCTAGCACCACAGGACGTCCTCTTCAATATCTTTAGTAAATTCATCTACGACTAGTGAAAATAAATAAGGACCAAGTGTTGATCCTAGGTGAAGACCCATTGTAACTGCAAAATCTGATGTCTCTGTCACATTTGTTCTAATGTTGGTTTGTGCACTCTCATACATATCCTTAATTAGCTTCACATACCTATTTGGAACTGCTTTCTTTTCTAGAACCCACCATATTACCTCTCTAGGGACTCGGTGAAAAACCTATGAAGATCTCTTTTCTCTAAAGCTTCTATCAATTATTTAAATAGAAAGATAACATCCACGATTTATCTCCTTGGCATAAACTCAAATTGTTTTTTTGATATGCTTTTTACATGCAATATTTTAAAAATTGATCCGGACACTGAACCGTTTTTGCCTTCGGGTTGCAGATCACCGGTTTGATTGTCCGGGTCAAATGGGTTAGATCATGCCATGTCAGCATATGTATATATATTACAGATAAAAAAGAAGTGGAAAATTCATTTTCCTTGAAATGAACTATAGTTGATAGACATTGCACTATGCCATTAACCACTCTCTCCACAGTATTACTTTTCTGCTCATAAGGCCTTGAGTTTCTTGCCAGGGGAATGGTGGACCTAAAGCATCTCTTTTACCTGTCCATTCCAGCAACCTTCCATCCATGTAAAAGAGCCCGAACAGAGGATGGCAAACACCCCTGATAAGATATAGCCTTGTAAAAGTGCATCCATATCTTTGTATGTGAATCTGCAATTCTGTAGTGAAGAAAATGTTATTGGAAGACTCTTCCTCCATGCACAAGAGGCAGAGGGAGTCCGGTAAATTTACGCCCTTCCTTGATAGCATTAACTTGGTTAGGCATTTCTCCCAAGCCATAATCCAAGTGAAGAGCTTCACTTCCAACATTTCAAACATAATAATTTGATATATTGATTTCGAAAAAACAATTGTAATTCAATAAAGAAATTTCATTAAAAATAGACTAATTAATTTTCCACTTTGCTGTAATTCCTTCTTTTTGAAGTTTAATAAATTTTGTCCTTACTGATAAAAATAGACTAATTAATTTCATCAGTATTTCAATTCCAAATAAAAAAGTACTTGCATGCCAAACAGTCCCTAAGATGAGTTTTCACATAAATTATCTTCTAATGCTCTGCTAATGCTTATATCACATAGTATTAACTAAAAGATAAAGCAATAGCCATAAGCCAATAAACCATTTGGTTCATCTATTTCATCAGCCTTTATTAAACAGCCCCTAAGATAAGTTTTGACACACACAAATTAAATCATTCACCTAATCTGTTTGCATGATCTTAATTTAGATTTTAGAGTACAACAATATACTTTATTCTTTCTCAAAAAAAAAGAGAAAAATTTTAGAGTATAACAATTCCCTTAAAGAGAAAACAAAACATTCAAGTGAAAAGCAGGAAGGGATGCATAAAATATGAGAGCTCAAAGTTGTTAATAATCATTCAGTTATCATGTTTGTTTTATTAGAATATGTCAGCTATGCTTATCAAAAAAATAGGATGAGTCAACTAATTAAAATATGTTGAAATTTTTTAAAGCGCCACCTATAAAAAAACATGTTTTAAAGCGCAAGCTTAACATCTTTAGATGCCTAGGAGTGGGCATTGTGGGCCAAGCAAGTGCCTTCTCTAGAATACTTTAGACGATGCATTTTTTTGGTGGAGATTTAGACGATGCAATTAGGTCACCCCAAAAACCACCTATTTGCCTAGAGGTTGCCTTGACAACTATCTGCCAGGCCCATCCTCTAGTGTCTAGAGCTTGTCATATATCATTACGGAAAAGGCGATCTCTTTGCATTGGTCAGTTGGCAGTGTTTGTGCAAGAGAAGAGAGAAAGAATTGAAAAGGCTAGGGTTTTGTTGAGCATCGAAATAAAACAAGTTCAACTTTTAGAAGTAATGAGTTATAAAACATATGCAGTTTGCTATTCATATGAATTTGGGATAGATGTAGTTGACTGATTGGGTTTATTGAGTTTACAAAAGATCCTGACTTGAAGAGAAAGTGAAATTTAACCTTTTTTTGATCAGCAACACAAAGAAGAATTTTAATAATAGAAGAATAAGGAACATATTACAACAAGGTGTTGTGAAAGGACAGTCCGAAACAGGACTAGCCCCCCTAAAAAATTACAAATGTGCCCAGTGCAAATTGTTTCCTTGAACCCCTTGCCTAGCTAAGCTGGTAGTGAACTTTAACCTTTGAATATACTCTTAAAGAAATCCCTTCTTGTATGGCTCTAGAGAATGTATTGGTATAGATCCTTTGTGATTTCTGAGTACACCTCCAAATAGACTGAGGTTACCTAATGAGTAAATTGTGAAGTTAAATTTGAGGAGCATGTGTAGCAGCAGAATTCTAGCCCTTCAAGGTGATCTCAAAACTGGAGAGCTAGTTGGCTATTCCAATAGCAATGGGGTCAATCATGATGGCTACTTCTTGTTATTTATTATAAAATTGTTTAATTAGTTTCATTCCAACACTGCAAAGAGTAGTCACCCTAGTGTGACTCCAAGTAATCTTCTCTCTCTTAGTAAAAAGAAGAATAAAATTAGGCTTGAGCAAAAAACTTCAGAAATTAAAGGGGGAGATCAAGAGGGCCATTACCTGATGTTAGTTCTAGCTATCTGGTGTTGCATGAGGGGTGGACTGTGTAGGACTTCACCTTTGGCATTTTCTTGCTTAAATTGGACACTGTCAAACTCAAAACAGTTGATAAGATTTTAAAATTGCACCAAGCAATGGCCCTCTGAAGGAAGGGGTAGTGCAGAAAGCATCAAAAAGAAGGGGGAAAATGGACACAAACAACTGATGTATAGGAAATAAGAATGGAAAAGGAATAATAAATGATTGACATGCTCACCATCCTGAATGTGCACAATGGAGTAGAGAGGCGCCAAGTGTTTTTTTTTTGTGTTGGAGTGATGCCATTATTGATAATCTTCAAAACAGCCACCAAGCAAGATGATTGATTTTTGGTGTAGTAGGGCTGTTCCAAAGTGTTTTAAGGGATAGAGCAGTGATTTAAAAGACGTGCTCCTATGTGCATAGGAGAGGCACATTTTAGGGTAGGCGCCTTGCCCAAGTCCTAGGCACAATACTTTCAAMAGGCACATGCCTGGTGCGCCTAGGTGTGCACCTGATGTGCCTTGTGCCTTAGCCTAGGCATGCACCTTTTGATTTTTTTTTGCTTTTTGAACCAAGGCAAGCCCAAACAAGTCCATGTTAGGGTCTTAAATTCTTGATCTTCACACAAAAAATAATGATTTATAATTTTAATTGCCTT